AAACAAAAACTAAAAAAAAATAACCACAAATCCTTATTAAATATCATTTCATATGAATACACATTACATTGTTTCATATTTCTTTAACAAGATGACCTTTATCATTCTCTTAAAGATAAATATTGCCCTGGCATTTTTGACATCACTCTCCAGATTGTTCCATAGTCTTATTCCTTGTATCGAAGTACATCGCTCCCTCAAACTAGTTCGAAATCCAGGTTTCACAAACATCTCTTCCCCTTTCAATATCTATTTCATTGCTGCACCTTATTGCTTCTTTAATGTTTTAAATCTTAACAATTCTCTCAAACTAAGCTATGTTCTGTGAGCAGACTATGCTGCTTCAGCCAGGCTTTCTGATAAAGAGCACTTTTGAATGATGTGAATAGATGACAGTGCCACTCAGGTTCTAGAGCGCAAAACAGCAGTCAGTAAAAGGTTCCTGCTACTGGCCTCATTACCACAGCAATTTTAGTGACCTGTGAGGGCTGTATTGAGTTTAATAATGTCTTAAGAAGATAAATCAGTGCTGACAAGATGAGCTGTCTTGACCCTCACCTCCAGCAATCATCGATCCACCTCTCCACCTTCTAATCTATGGAGCTTTGTGTGCTGATTACCATAAAGAATAGCTTCATGCTTTTAAACAAGTACATCTTATTTCTGCCAGTGGATGTGGGATCACACATTCCTTCTTGTGTTATTTGTTGTGATAGCCTGTTGCCATGGTGCTGTGTTAATAATTAAACTTTACATCCTTAAATACCCCTATATTTTTCACCAAATGTACATTTTTTTCTTCCAAGAAAATAAGAAAAGAAAAAAAGACCCCATTTTGGGTTACAGAACTTTATTTGAAAAAAAAAATCACAAAATTCACTTTTTTCAGTCAAGTCTTAATTGCATTGTGTGCCTGAAGCTTTTATTTGAAGCTGCAGTGGTTGGAGGTGTGACCTTGTTTATTCATGTGTTTTCCAGAAATTGCAGCCTCGTTTGCCAAGGGGGTTCATTTCAACACCTTTGGAGGAAATCCTGTGGCTTGTGCTGTTGCTTCTTCAGTGCTCGATGTAAGTATTTTTAATCTATTTCTGCATCAGTTTCATACTTCAGCAAATATGTTACAAAATTATTATGTATGCTTTTATAGAATTTTTTTAAGGACATCATTATTCAACTGGATCTATTTGTGCTCAAATAGACTATGATAGAAGATGGCACACAGAAGAATAGCCATGATGTGGGCACCTATCTAATGATGGAACTGGCAAAACTTAGAGACAAGTATGAGGTCATCGGTGACGTTCGTGGAAAAGGCCTTATGATCGGCGTGGAAATGGTCAAAGACAAGGTACTGAGAGTAAAGCATAAATGGAAGTCCTCTCCTCTCACGTGTTTGTCCAACGTGTATGTCTGCACTGTGCCTCCTGGGGCCATGGTTCAGCAGTGTCCCAGTTAACCATTGTCTGCAACATTTTACAGTCAACTGAAAATTAACAGAACAAACGCAGCTGAGCTGCATTTACTCCAGCTAAAGTTCAGGATATTATGTACACTGTAGAAGCACAACATGGACTCGATAGTAGACTGGTAGCATTAATACATGTAAATGTCAAAACCTCAGAAAGATCATATTTAATCATCAGAACAGTCAATTCTCTGTTTCCCCTGTCTGGAAAATGTGAAAGTCATTTTCTAGATTTTCCCTGATTCCCAGAGTTGCTGGGAACCCTGTCCTGTGGTGCATTTTCACCTGATCCAAACTCTTGTTGTGCTCCTCTAAAACAGTTCTCTAATTAATATTTTTGAAGAAAGCTGTGACCACCTCCACATCACCATGTCCACACTGGAATAATCGTAAAAATTACAGGCAAAGCTCTGAGTCATACTTTCACTTTCACTAAAAAAAAGGCCTGACAACTTTTTCTTGCCTGTAGTAGGAGAATTGTGTGTTTAAAGTCTGGGAACAGCAGCATGAACAGCATGTTTGACTAGCAGTTTTTGTATGCATGCTCCTAAAAATATTAGCTGAACCATATCATTACTGATATATTCTGTCAGAAATATCATCTGTGGGGTTTATTTACGGCGGGACAATTATTACTGATAACTAAAATAATTTAAAAGAATAATATTCTGATTATAAATTTCATTAATCTCTTTTGCCAGTATCCACTTAAGTCATAGAAGTTACTGTTAAAAGTTAACTACACACACAATTTAATTTTTGAAATATATGTATGAGAACATAAGAGGGTACTAAAGCTAGTATCTCACTGGGCTTCAACTGGTGCCAAACACTGACGCATTTGCAAAGAACTTTCCAAAATAGGTAAGTAGAAAAATACTTGTTGTACCCCTGAAGATCGTACAAAGTTTGTGAGGGGTTTAAATTTCCTCACAGATAGCAGGATTTTTTAATAATAATGAACTTTGTACGTAAAAACAGAAATATGTTTATATGGATGGATGGATGGATGGATGGATGGATGGATGGATGGATGGATGGATGGATAGATAGATGATGGATGGATGGATGGATGGATGGATGGATGGATGGATGGATGGATGGATGGATGGATAGATAGATGGATAGATGGATAGATGGATAGATGGATAGATGGATAGATGGATAGATAGATAGATAGATAGATAGATAGATAGATAGATAGATAGATAGATAG